GCAGTGTGTCTGGGGGGCGGGGTCTGCTCCGGCAGCCAGGAACGTGTGCATGAAGAAATCAGGTGCCACGGGGGGCACATCCGAACCAGCACACATGACCTCAATATTGGTGCTCACTCCGCTCGTGGTTGGAAAATCTTAGACGAGGGGCATGGATCAGCATTCATGTTACACTCCCCATCAGTATCTGACTTGGATAAGTAATGATCTAGCCAGAGGACCAAATTCGGTGATAAATCTTAGTCATCTGAGGAACGTGTGCATGAAGAAATCAGGTGCCACGGGGGGCACATCCGAACCAGCACACATGACCTCAATATTGGTGCTCACTCCGCTCGTGGTTGGAAAATCTTAGAGGGAACACTGAGCCAGACCATCACTCCATGAGTTCCCAGGGTTGCACCAGCATGGAGGGCGCAGGACATCCTGGACCTCCCTGCTGTGTGGGGAGAGGACTCTGTGCCCAGAACTGCGACCCAGCGAAAGAAGCGCAGATCTCTCTGCGATCGTGACCAAGGGCGAGGAGGAGAAAGGAGATGCAGGGACGCCCGTTGCTGCTGAGTGAAAATAAAGGGGCCGAGGCAGTCGTACCAAAAGACGAAGGATGCCTACCTGAACAGACACCCCATCCAGCTCTTATGGGCCATCCAGTGCCATAGCCTCCTCTCCCACGGGCCCTAGGAGGGAGGGGACGTCCAGAGCAGCCTCACACTCCATCCCCAGAGATGCGTGGCGAAGCAAACGGGTGCCCTCCTCGCAATTGTGATCACACACATACACCCCCGAAGCGCCGCACACTGAATGCAGGGCCCCTTGCTGAGAGTAACCTGTGTGTCACTCAAAACGGGCCATTCGTAAATCTGCCTTTCAAAGCCTTTCTGGTTGGCACTGCCCCTCGCTGTGCCCTCCATATCGCCCTGGGGACACTGCGGGACCTTCCCTTCAAGCACCCAAAAGCACATGCTGCCACCATCCCGCACTTGCTCAGCCTGTAGTTGAACTGCAGTCCAGGTTGTTTGTTAACAGCTGCGTGAGCCGCCGGAGCAAGGGGCAGGCCGGGTCGCCAAGGATCACTATTGGCATTTCAACAGCCCCAATGGCAATTTTCTGATCTGGGGGAAAAGTTGCAGCTTGCCGACGAGGCAGGAGTGCCTAAAGGTGCGTGTGTCATGTACCTTTCCCAACCACCCCACGTTGATGTTGGTGAAACGGCCCCTGTGATCCACCTGCGGTACCGTCAAGAAGTCCCCCTCGTGGTGTATGTGCTCCTTGGCCAGGTGCTTGGGTGCCGTCACGTCGCCACAGGGAAGTTCGGGAGGTCACTGTGCTCCATAGCAGAAGGGTATCGATAGCCTTGGCTGCTTGGATCACAACAGCCCCTGCAGTAGATTTCCCCACTCCAAGTGGATTCCCTACTGACTGGTAGCCGTCTGTCCTAGCAAGCTTCCACAGGGCTATTGCCACGCGCTTCTCCATCATCAGAGCAGGTCTCATTCTGGAATTGCTGTGCGTCCGGGTCGGGAGGGGGAAGCCATTCGCACACTTCCATGAAAGTGGCCTTACGCATAGGGAAGTTTTCCAGCTCCTGCTGATCATCCCATGGCTGTACCACAACGTGGTCCCATCAGGCTGGGTTTGCGTGCTGGCACCAGATCTGGCGCTCCGCTGTGGCCAGCGGGTCGACAGCCGGTGGCATGTGCTGGTCGCTGAACTCAAGTGCTTCGCAGAAGAGTGTGTTCGTGGCCTCCCAAGGTTCATCCTGGATGTACTCCAGCATTCAGCGCACCAAGGTTAACGTCATCACGATCAAGCTTTGATACTCAACGGGATCCCTGATGGGTTCCATGCTGATGTTGCTGTGGCATCTGTACGGATAACCAAGGGAAAAAAGGGTGCAAAAAGACTGTTTGCCTTTGCATGTATCCAGAATCACCTTGCGTTGCACAGTTTTGGTCCCAGCATGCACTGGGAACATAACCCAGTGTGCAAAGAGGGCATAGGCACTGTGGGATAGCTACCCACAGTGCATTGCTCTCAAGGTCAATAGTAGCTCCCTTTCTGGGGATGTGCTACTTCAAACTCTGTCAAAGTCTTGCATGTAGTGGGGACATGCATCTTCGACTTGACAAAATTGGGTGCTAAAAATCGAGCTTAATAAATTCAATCTTTACCTCTGTGTAGACATGGCCATAGTAACTGGCCATGGCAGATGGGGCTGTTCCAGCCCTGCAATTTAACCATAACCAGTAAGCATCGCTCAGTAACGGTGCTTATCGGTTAACCATTCACATCCCTGTCCCTCACAGGTTCTTAGAAACCTCCAGTGTTGAATATTGCACAGCCTCTGGGTATCTGTTCCGGGACTTACCTATTTTTACTGTTAGAAAGTTTTAAAATATCTCTAACTCCAATCTCCCTTACTTCAGATTAAGCTGATTACTTCTTGTCCTGTCTTCAGTGGACATGGAGAACAATCATTCGTTGTCTTCTGAGTAACACCCTTCATATGTTTGGAGACGTATCATGTTCCCCTGCAGATTTCTCAAGAAGAAACATGCCCGGTTCTTTCAATCTTTCCTCACAGGTCAGGTTCTCTAAACCTCTTACCGTTTTTGTTGCTCTCTTCTGGACTCTGTCCAGTTTGTCCACATCTTTCTTCAAGTGCGGCACCCTGGATGGCCACTGTATCCCAGCTGTAGTCTCGTTGATGCCGAATGGAGCCGGGCTGTTACCTTCCATGTCTTGCCCATGAAACTCCTATTAATGCAGAGCTGAGCGAGAGCTGCCTTCTTTGCCACAGCATCACCCGGTTGACTCGTATTGCATTTGTGAGCCATTGTCACCCCCAGATCCTTCTCAACAGTACTGCTGCCTAGTCCCTTGCGCCCCATCTTGTAGCTATGCAGCTGATTTCCCGTCTTCCCTAACTTTGAACTTTGAACTTGTCTTTATTGAATGTCATCTTGTTCATTTCAGATCAATTCTCCCACTTGTCATGGTCATCTTGAATTCTGTTCCTAGCCTCCAAAGTGCTTCTAACCTCCCTGCAAATTCAATACGCTCGCTCGGCACGCCATTATCCAAGTAGTCGAATCATCCGATGAAGTGGGTTTTACCCACCAAAACTTATGCCCTAATACATCTGATAGGCTCTGTGGTGACACAGGACTCCTGGTTTTTTTTTATGAACACATTGAGTAGCACCAGATCCAGGTACTGGAAAGCCATAGGTTCTGTGGTGACACAGGACTCCTGGTTTTTTTTTATGAACACATTGAGTAGCACCAGATCCAGGTACTGGAAAGCCGTCTGTTGCTGAGGAACTTAGCACAAAGATCGTGTGTGGGCACGTTTGGATAAACATTCTGACTTTTCCCCTCGTGTTGTAGGTTTGATCCAAAGAAAGGATTCTGGTGCCAACTCTTGGAGGGAGGGAAAACCAAGTGCTTGGGGAAAAGCAAAGGGCGGAAGTATCCAGAGATGGATTCAGATGTAAGTATTCGAAACCTCGCATGACTGCCACTAAACGCGTATTGCTTTTGCTTCCTTTGCTACTACTGAGGACCACAGTTTCTGCAGAACACAGGATGGGGGACAGAGGGCATGCATGTCGCTCTGCACTAGAAAACCACATTTACGTGCGTGCGCATGCCAGGGAGAAGGTGGTGGGTGGATAGTGAAAAGCTGGTCGGGTTTCATCGTGTGTTGACTGGAATCGACCCACTCTGATGCATTGACTGCAGCTCGTTCCTGGCAGGCACTAAGGATTACTGTGAATGATAATCTCTGTCCTCTTTCTCTTGCAGTCACGCGCCTTCCTGAGGGATTATTACCGGGACCACAATATAGAGCTTTCCAAGCTGCTGTACAAAATGGGTCAGACTCTGCCAACGTGGCTGCGGGAGGAACTCCAGAACGCTAGGTAGCTGCTGCTGTCGCCTTATTGAGCAATAGTGAGGTGAGCCCACGAAGAAGATCCCAAATCTAACACCGAGCCAAACAGACGGGAGCAGGCGAGAGAGGCCACCGGGGCAAAGCATTTCTGAGCAATATTCAGCCAAGGTCTTTGAGGGAAAATGCATGAGGACCCATGTGGTCATCAGTGTGGCGTATGGGAGCCAACTGTCTCTTCTGAGGGCCCTTCAAGTTGTGCAACTGCCTGACTCTGCCAACCCAGCGCGGATTCCCCAACAGCGGTCATCTTCTGAGGTCCTTGTCAGTGATGTCACTTCCTGGGTTGTGATGTCACTTCCGGACGGGGGGAGGGGCTTCCCTGAAGATTCCCTGCTTCTCCACACTTGGACGGGACTAGCTTCTCCGTGTCTGAGACAGTATTACAGCAGTTCTGAGACTCTCCTCATCAAATAATGGACCTCGAGGTGTGGACGACTCTTTGCAAAGCTGGCTTGGAGAACAAGAGCGTGATGTGCTGTTTGAGGTCAGAGGCCCGAAGGGGCCGGTCAGATGCACCGACCCAGGTCTGCAATCCAGTTACCAACCAAGTGAAGGGAGACGGCGTAAAGGAATGGCGCGTCCTGGCTTCCCGCACGACCTAGCATTAAACGCTGGAAGAGATCTCTTGGTTTTTTCAAGAAGACTTTAAGACTTGGCAATATTTAGTTTGTCACCAATGAATTTTTCTTCCCCACCCTTGTATTTTATTTTATTTTATTTTATTGAAGGGTGGGAGCTTCACATCTCTATCCCATCTGGCAAGAGAACTGAACTGAGAAATGGTTACAAAGGGAAAAAAAACAAACCCTGCCCCACCTTCCCGCATAGCAACATTTTATATGCGTGGTGTTTTCTGTGGTAAAAGGCTGAGGTCCAATAGCCCGGTCCGTGGAACATGCTTCGACATACGAGCCTCCGGCTCAGAAGGGGGCAGACTTTGGGCAGGGCAGACATTGGACTAACAGCGGCCAAAAGGATTCTGAGCACGTTGGACCTCTCAGATACTAAACGCTAAAGTATTTTAATAATTTGTCCTTGTTTTTCTGGTGCCAGAGTTTGTATCTGAGATACGAGGGTTTTATTTTGTCTCGCTCACTGTTACACGTGAAGGAGCGGGCCGGTGCGGTTGGCTGGTCTCTCTACTGACCAGTCACAAACCCTTTTTTTTTTTTTTTTTTCTGACGACGGGATAAGTACCTTGCTGCTTCATCTCTGGCTCTCTGTTCTTTTCACTGCCAGTGTTTCAGTATTGAGGTTTCCTGCAAGTTTCTGCCAACCCCCCTCTCCTCACTGTTCTGGTGTCCGGGGAGCTGGCAGCAGAGCTAAAGATGAGCTTTTGCCCTCAGTTCCTTGGTGGAGGTGTCCCCTAAGCAGAACGGGGGTGTATCGCTCACTCAGGAGTGGAGGAGGCCCAGCGTCGGGCCAATGGAAGACTCGTTTGGCCAGTGGTGTTGGCGGAGTGAGCCGCTTGCCTGGTGGGTGTAATGGTGTGGGGGAGGAGGAGAGGAAGTTCTTTTACCTCACTGCTCCGCAGCGGTTGGGCAGAGAGAACGGGGCAGCCGAGGCAGGTGAAGGGGCAGCCACCCCAGGCAGTACGAACACGAGGAACGAAGACGGGCATGCCAGTGTCTCAAGGTGCAGGAATCAAGGGCTCATGCAGGGTTCTTGGGCCTGCGACTTCTAGGAGCTAAGCACTGCCTAAGATTAATTCATCGGGGATCCCCCCCACCTCCCTACACTGGACGTCACAGCATTCGCCACTGGGCAAATTCACAAGGAAGAGGGTCTAGCAAGGAGATTGGGGGAGGGGAAAGCAAGGAAGGTTCCCCTACAGGCCCTCAGGCTGTTCCGCGTGTCCGTGTCGTCTTCCTCTCGTGGGGCCTCGCTGGAATGGCGGGGAGTGAGCGATCCACACAGGCCTGCTCCCTGGGCGCGCCAGTGGTCTTGCGTTGTCCTCTGCCATCGGCTAGGCTCTGAGGGTCTTAGTCTGCCCCATCCTGGGACGGCACGTCCCTGCTGCTGCATCCCCTCCGGCGCGTGCAGTAACGCAAAGCCGCCGCCTCTCCTCAGACGCTCCCCTCCCCCGGGAGAAGTCAGGGGCCCTGTTCAGTGACTGTATTATACGGGTGCGTGTTGGTCCCAGGGCGTGAGAGGGAGAAGGTGGGTGAGGTGATAGCTTTTACAGGGCCAGCTCCTGTTGGGGGAGGAGGGAGAGACATGTTCAAGGTGACACAGATGTCCCTTGTTTCGGTGTTAGACGTGCAGCGGCTGTTCCTTCACCCCGCGGCCAGGCCACGCTGGGTACGTCTGTGCTGGAGCTGATGGTGAGCTAGAACCTGAGAGGTGGCTGGGGCGGGATGGGCTGAATTGTCTCCCACCCAGGCCCTAGGGGGCTACACCTGCGGCTCCTCTTGGTAGCAGGCTAGGAGAGCTCTCGTGAGCGCGTCTGCGTGAGCTGGAATTACACCTTCAGCTCCCGTGGAGACGTGCCCTTCGAATGACCAGAGTAGGAGCTGGGGCAGCCCAGGGTTGGCCGTTGCTTCGGGTGACGGTGAAAGGCCACGTGTATCTTCCGCAGCCGGTTGCCGTTTCCTCCCCCAGCTGCCGGGGCCGTGATACGGGAAACACGTTCTGCTCCGTCGCTTGTTACAGTCACAGCAGAGGGGCCAGGACCTCAGCCCCTCGCCCGCATGATTCTTCTCTTCTGGCTTCTCCTGGCTGCGGGGGAGGGAGGCGTTGAGTTGAGCACGTTGGGAAGGAGCAGCCAGGACACCATGAGACGCGTAAGCCAGCAGCCCATTGGTCTCCCCGTCCGTGCTGCTGCTTGGGGAGGTGGATCCCAAACGACGGCCCGCGGGAGTTAGCACCGATGGTGTCACTTCCGTCTTGGAATTTCCCCTGCTTCCCTCCAACAGGTGACTTCAGGTTAGAGCGGTGGTGTAGGGCGAGAAGGGGACTCGCTTCTTGGGGCCACGCGTCCAAACTGCCTGCCAAGGCTGGTGCCGAGGGGTACTGTGTTTCCAGTCTCTAGTGTCATAGGTACGAGCGAGCACACGTGTGTGCCCATGCGAGCACACGCTAGGAGTAACACGGGCACACACCTCGGCCACAGGAGAGCTCCTTGTTTTAGGCTCTCCTGGAGGTGCTCGTGCGGTGCCCACCAACGCAGGTGGGGGCTCCGAGGGCTAGTATAGCTCATGGGCCATGGGGTTTGACAAACTAAACAGTAGCTGGCTCCATGCGGGTAGCAGACCCCGTCGTGCTGCTCCGCTGGCCACGCGGGCAAACATCGGGCTGGGCTGGGACCGAGAACTGCCTAACGCAGCCTCCATCTGCGCCCCACAAGTGCCCACTCCTTGCCTCGTAGCAGCCTCTGCCCTCCTCTGATTTGTTCCGCGGTCTCATGCCGGGAGTATCCCTGGCAGCTAACTGTGACCTTCCCTGGTGGAGGGGGGACCCGCACTGACTGAGCCCATGTTCCTCTCCGCACCCAGGCTGCTCCTATCGCTGCTGCTCTCAGCTCTCCTGGAGCCAGGACTTGGCCTCCCGACCCTTTGATTGGCAGCAGCAGGAAGGAAAAGGCAGGAGAAAAGCACTCGGTGCACGATATCTCGACCTTTCCGGAGGGAAGCCTCAGCAGGGTGACCGTGTTAATCTGCATCTGCAAAACCAAGGAGTCGCCCTGGGGCACCTTAGAGATGAGCATCCGCTTTGGTGGGTAGAAGCCACTTCATCAGATGGATTGGAGTGGACGTGGCAGACGCGGGGGTGGATACACAAGGAAGAGGTGGAAGTGTGTAATTCACAGCATTTGATCTGGAGGGGAAATTGCCAGACCAAATGTTGTGAATGAGCCACTTCTCCCCTGACTTTGATGAGCTTCATTAACACAAGCAACATCTTCCTTATATACACCCCTCTGCTTCTGTCACTTCTACTCCAGTCTGTCTGGTAAAGTGGGTTTTACCCACCGAAGCTGATGCTCTAGTAACGCTGGTAGTCTCGAAAGTGCCAAAGGCTCCTCGTTTTTCCACAGGGAGAGAGGCTGGCTCACTCCTGAGGGGTCTGCAAAGCCAGGACCCCCTTACTGGCCCCATTTGTGACGGTGTGGGCCTCAGCTTCCCAGGACCCATGAGCCAGGGGTGGAACCTGGGCCCAGGACCACAGGCTGTAATGGGATGTGGCAAAGTGAGAGAGGATGGATGTAAAGCGCTTTCTGCAGCCTCTGACAGTCTGTCCCCATCGCATCAGGGTGTCTTAGGCTCAGCTTAGCTCACGAGGAAACAGATCTGAGCGCTGCAACCTCACGTGGGCAGCGGGGTGGAGACGGGTACCCTAGGAACAAACCACCCAGCCAGGTGCGCGTTGACAAAAGGAATCATTGGAACAGTCCCCAAATGCTGATGGGTTTTAGCCTGCACTTTACAAGAGGGGAGTGGTACGTACCAAGCCCGCTCTGTCGAACACAAGCGCGGTCACTGGGTGGCGCTGGAGAGCGAGTCGGGAGAGACACTCCCATTTTTAAACCGTTCTTTTACCTTTTGTTACTGACAAAAGAGGGAAACCCTGTAGGTTCCCAGTTTTATTTTTGCATGAAATTCTGTATACTTTCCCAGGGGTTGGGAGGTGGGGGGGAATGGGTATTTCCTGGGCGGGGGAGGGAGGAGGATCAGGGAGGGGATATTTCCGAGTTGTCTTTGGCCCTCCTTTCGATCTCGTTGAACCCAGTCGCTTTGGGTTGTATTCAAAGATCCTTTATCACTAACAATGTATGGTCCTGTTGAACTAAACTGCTAATAAAATGGGGCTCTCTGTTTGTAGTCGCTTGCCTCGCCTGCTCTCTTCTTCCACTTTTGAACCACAGCTTTATAAGAATTTCAGGTTGAAAGAGATCCCCACGGCCTGGCCAAGGTCATGCCCATCCTGCTAATTAAACCCTCCCGGCATGGCCACCGCGGGAGGGTATAAACCGTAGTTTTCAAACTTTTTTTCTCATGACCCGGTTGAAGAAAATTGTTGATGCCCACGACCCAACAGAATTTGCATGAAGTGCAGGCTCCGGGGTGGGGCTGAGGGGCACAGGAGGGGGATCCATCTTTGGGGGGGGGGGTCAGGGCTGGGACAGGAGGGACTTACCTTGAGCGGCTCCCAGTCAGCGGGGGGGACCAAGGCAGCTTCCTGCCTCTCCTGGCACCACAGACCAGGCTGCCCCCAGAAGCAGCCGACAGCTGGTTCCCAGCCAGTGGAGTGCGGAGTGAATGCTCGGGGCAGGGGCAGTGCACGGAGCCCTGTGCGCTCTTCCCCCTACAGACACACACACACACCTGGGAGCTGGTTCTGCTGCCGGCCACTTCTGGGGTGCAGCACAGTCTGTGGTGCCAGGCCAGGCAGGGAGCCGCCTTAGCCCCCCCACTGGTCACCTGATCCTTCTGCAGCAACAAGACCCAGGGCCCGACATTCCACCACCCAGCGACCCGTCATCTGAAAACTGCTGGTATAAAGGTATTGGAAGGAAAATAGGTTGTGCGGGTGTAAGGTAGCGTAACTGTCCACGCGAGGGATGGTAGGAGCAGTCACCCCCTAGCTCACACAGCGACACGGCTCCCTAAGAGGCGTAGGCCAGGCGAGAGCCATACTGGAGCAGGAGAGCGGTTTACAGCTCACACAGACATCCCTGCGCTGTATCGCGCTTTCCCAGGCGAGATCTGGGAGTACGTGCGCTGTTGGCTTCAAATGAGACTTGTTCTTGGACTGCCTTCCAGCCGGGCTTGTGCTGCCTGGCACACTAGGCTGCTGCGTGTACACACACAGGGCCGGCCCACAACATTTTGGCACCTGAGGCCATTCCCCTTCGCTTGGGCCAAAACTTTGAAAGGTCTCAATTCTCTGGGTCCTAGTGGCACCCCCACCCCACAGTCTAGCACCTGAGGCAGCCGCCTTAGTTGGCCTCGTGGTAAGGCCAGCCCGGTACACACACGACACACAGAGTGACACTCCTGCGGGTGCACACGGCACGCACTCTGCTTTGGAAAGCCTGGATGAGCTCTGTGCTGCTGCAGCGCCAGCAGGGTGAGCACAAACCCGCACATCTGCTTTTGGTGCATTTGGCTACTGATTTTCAGTTCCCAGAGTTAATGACAGGAAGGATGTAACCTTGACACTCACTGAGATTTGGCAGTAGACGGCGTCCTTGTTAAAGCACAATTTGTAGGCAAATGGTCACAGCAGAAAAGCAAAGTTTAGAAACGTGCCCTATGAAGAAAGATTAAAAAGACTGGGTCTTTTCAGCAGAGAAATAGAGGAGACTAAGGGGGGATATGATAGTCTATAAAATCATGACTGGTATGGAGAAAGTGAATAAGGAAAAGTTATTTTATTTTTTCCCATAAGAACTAGGGGTCACCAAATGAAATTAATAAGGAGCAGATTTAAAACAAAGCAAAGGAAGGGTTTTTCCCCCCCACACAATGCACAGTCAACCTGTGGAACTCCTTGCCAGAGGATGTTGTGAAGACCAGGACTTTAACAGGGTTAAAAAAAGAGCGAGATAAATTCATGGAGGATAGTTCCATCGATGGCTATTAGCCAGGATGGGCATGGATGGTGTCCCAGCCTCTGTCAGGGATCACTTGATGATTACCTGGTCATTCGCTCTGGACCATCTGGCATTGGCCACTGTTGGAAGACCAGTTACTGGGTTAGATGGACCTTCGGTCGCACCCAGTATGGCCGTTCTGATGTTCTACGGTATTTTCTCTCTTCCTTGACTTAGTCTGTTCTGTTTCACACAGCTGCGGGCCAACGGAGCCCAGATTGGATATTTCGCAAGCTGTAATTTGCAGCACTGCGCTAAGAACACTGCACGAAGAAACAATCGGGAGCCACGGTTTCAAGCAGTTAAACTCCTGGATCCCAGCGCTGTACGTTCAGCCAATGCGCCGGTGCGAGCACAGGCCCCGATGTCTGATTGTGGTCATTTTACATCCTGTTGGTAAGAGCCTAGTGGACTAAGGTTTAAAATCACAAGGTTTCCCTGTTTCTGAGGCTGCATTCAGTGCTCCGAGCGCCCTGCCTGAGAATGGCAAATGCCCCTTGTTTCTGCCCGGCGGGGATGCGGCCACTTCAGATGGTGCCGACTGGCCATCCCAACAGCCCTGGAGGGGACGGACGCTGAAGGACTGGGAACGGGTTTCTGTCTGTGCTGCGCACTGCCCTGCGTATCAAGCTCATGTATCTTAACAGCTCGCCGGCTACGCCGTTCCCCTCGTCTTTGTGGAAAAGCCAGAGCAGGATGAGATTGTAAAACCCCAACAATTAGGGTTGCCAGGTGTCCAGTTTTCACCCGGACTGTCCATTATTCGGGTCCTCTGTCCGGTAAAAAAAAACAACTTCCCAGACATGTGAAATGTCCAGTATTTCCTGTTTCCCTTGGACGGAAGCCCAGCGGGGACCATTTTCCCTTGCTGCGTCTGGTGGGGAAGTGAGGAGTGCAGGGTCATTTAAAGGTGCAGCACCTTTTTTTTTCCCCTCAACGACACCCCCTCCCCCTTTTTTTTTTCCTCAACAGAATTTTTTCCTGGTGGTTTTTTTTTGGGGGGCGAGAGGGGTGTTTGGTATTTTTTGTTAAATCATCTGGCAACCCTACCAACAATGGGCAGGGAGACTTGGGCACAGAACCAGAAAATGACCTGTAAGTGAAGCCCATTTAATTTTGACTAGGTTTCCAGTTAGATGATCCCCTTTGCACGTCAGCCCTGAGTAATAAGTGATGGGAGACCTGGCTGCCTCTTGCTCCCTCGAGTGACCGACTCTTGCCTTTTCCAAACCTGACTGATGCAGTCCCTGAGATCCTCGTTGGGAAAGCCTGGACCTCGGGCCATGTTGTTACCACGGTTGCAGTGAGATGGGGGTGTACAGTACATCTGTGTCCATGGGGATCCCAGCAGGTTGTTGCTAGGCTACTGCACTTCCTGCTAGCGCAGTGTCATGGCGACAGCAGGGACCGGCCTGGGATTCTGCTCCGCAATCAGGAGTCCCCGTTACACCAGCCACAAGGGATCTGGGATGAGTGAAATAGGGCCTCTGGCCCCAGAGGAACATGCACCGGCCCCGGTATATTGCGTCATCCTAACGGTGTCAACAGGTTGGAGGGGGGAGCAGCTGGCTCCAGTACAGCCTGTGCTCCATTAGACAACGCCAGGCCTATTTCCACGCATTACTGCGCCCGGGCTCTATCGACAATGCTAGCTGCTCTACCGCCACCTACTCCTGCCACCTAGCGCCCGCAGGGGAGCCAGATTTAGGAGATCACTTCAGATGGATTGCAGTACACCTGGGGCTGTGGTCGCGCACTCTGGGTTAAAAGCAGAGTCCCTAATAGGCAACGGATTCTTCCCTGTCCAGGCTGGGGGGATTGGTTGGTTTCAGGCAAGTTTCCCTGGACTAGAAAAACCAGATCCCTTTAAAGCAGCAGTGTGCAGCCTAGGCTAGTGAGTGGCCCTCCACCATCGCAGTGGTGGTGTAACCGAGACGGCATCCTGGGACAGGGCAGTTTTGCTCACGGCGCTTGTGGGCCTAGAATTTGCGGAGAGGCCGACAGAACCGTAGCAGCGCCGTGATGGGATGCAGAGGGAGCCCACGGCTCTCCCAGTCACAGCACTCTGCCTCCGACTTCCCTTACACCTCGTGAAATGAGGGTTACTGGAGTCGGAGTCCTTCGGCGCCTAGTTATTTCGAAATAACGGCTTGCAGTGCAGATACGCTCTCTGTTATTTCAGCATAACCTCAGTTATTCCAAAATAACGCTGCTGGGCAGATGTACCCTTCCGGCGTATGTCCCAGCTGGATGACTTCCTCTTCTGTGCCCATCTCTTTGTAATGGGTGCTGCTGAGATACCGGTGTTAGCGGCGTATCGCTGTAACTCAGGTTTTGTTGCCTGCTCGTTAACTCAAGGTTCTACACATATTGGACCAGGCCAGTGAGGAATCTCTCCTGGGCCTCTGCACCTGGCCACAAACTTTTGCTCTGCCCCCGGCGGCTCAGAGCCACGTCTGCTCGCATGGGGGGCATGCGCACGCTAGCCTCGACAAACACGACAGGCCAAGTCCAGAGAGGAGGAGCTTGTTGTGCAGGTGGAAGAAGGTCTGCCGGCGATCTAGGGCAGGGCTAGGTCGGGCGAGCTGTGAAACTGCCACGAGCAGCAACCGTCACCCAAAACGGCCTCGCTGCAGTGGCTGGGCGCTCCATTGTCATCTCACCGTGTGCCACGGGCTCCAGGGCTTGGCGCATGGCGACCCCCGAAGGGGAGAGGTTCTTTCCCTGCCTGGTGGGCATGCCACCCCTTGCATCCTTAACGATCTCGAGAAACGCAAAGGGGGAGCGGGCCCAGGCCAGGCTCTGCACTGCACGTGCAGTGATGAAGCTTGTTCGCAAGGTGGCAGCATCCACCCAGCGCTAGACTCTGCCTGGTGCTTGAGCAGTGAGGAGTCCATGGGGATCTTTGTCTCTCCCCCTAGTCGGTGGCGGGATGGGGGCCATTCGGCCTCTTCCTTCCTTGTAACCTTAGGGAGAGCCTTTGGCTTCTCTTTCTCAGCCCGGCGGCAGGCTGGCAGTGCACCCCTGGCCCCGCCGGCTATGTCACAGCTGGCCCTGCCGGCTACTCGGGCTACTTTGCCGATGCACCTCCAGCCTAATTAGCCACTGCTGCTCCAGCCCTGGCTCCGGAGAACTAACGCACCAACCCGACTGCAGCCGTTTTCAAACTTTTTTTTCTCATGGCCCAGTTGAAGAAAGTTGCTGAGGTTGGGTTGCGGCGTCATT